CTGGTTGTTGCTGTTGTGCCTTGTAAGCGGCAGCTGCCGCCTTGGCCGATTGTCGTGCGGCCGTGGTAGATGGATAGGGAGTGACTGCTGTTGTTTGCTGAGCTGCATTGTAGGGGTTGGTGGCGGTAATACTAGTACCTGCTGCAGCTGCAGTGGTGGCTTGAGCTGCCGCGTAGGGATTGGTGGCAGTGGCCGTCGCCACTGGATAGGGTGCTATAGCTCCTCCTGCTGTTGGCCAAATGGGTAGTGCTGTCGAGCCAGTATTATTGGCTGTGGTGGTCGTGGTGGCTGGGTAGTATCCTGGGTAGGGTTGAGCTGCCGCAGTTGTTGTGGCTGGAGCTGTATAAGCAGTAGCTGTCGCTTGGACCGCATTGGTCGCCACAGGCGCCGTACCGGTTGTTGCAGTTACAGGATACAATGGAACCGAAGGATATTGCTGATAGACAGTCTGCTGTGCTTGCTGCTGTGGTTGCTGCTGCTGCTGCTGCTGATTGGGAGCTCCCTCGTTCATGTTCATGTTGGCGCCTGTCCCCAAAGATTCCTCCATCCTGACAAGAGATCAATGACACTCTGCAGTCGTCAACTACTACTGTACTACTAGCTAGCTATAGCTCTGGTTGGAGTGGGAGATCCCTCGATCGCCAAGGTTGTGAGTTGTGATGTTGTGGTGTGCGAAGATTCGATGAGGAGGGTTGTCGTCGATCCACATTTAGTCAATTTTGTGACGTCATCTTCATGTACCGTTTCTTGACGTTTCAATTTTTCTTCTCATTTTTCTTCTCATTTTTCTTGGATAACGCTACCTATTGAACAACATACAAAGGTGATACTAGTACTCGTACCTTAGTAGAGCCATGCCATGACGGCCCCATTACTACATCATGTATCAACAGCAGCAGCATTCAATAGTCTATTGGGAAAAAGGCGAATCCGTGACGCCCTTATATTGTTCTATATCGTCACTTTTGCAGTCTCCATGGCACTGAGTTTTCACCTACTCCACCAAATTCAACAAGAAAAAAGACAAGCTTCACCCAACAGCCACCACAGCAACAATCTCTTGTTCTCCTCTCACCTGCAACAGCAACGATACCACCCTGATTCTTCCAACCAACAAACTCCTGTACAGCAGCAGAATTCAATAATCGATCCAATATGGACTTGTTCCTCCTCCAATAATACTAGTAATACCGGTACTCACCACAACAACCACAAGTTGGTGTTTGTCCATGTATTCAAGACGGCTGGAATGACCATGAGGGAATTATTGCTACGATATGCCGTCGCGTGCCACAAAGGAATTGGAATCGTCTCGGAATGTTCCGGGCTCGACACCTTCAACAATTCTTCATCTGTATCTTCATCCACCACTACCAGTGCTAGTATTTGGCACAATGGATTTGGCAGCAAACAGGGACAACCATGTTGGATGAAAGCATTGCCTCGCAGCAATCATGATAATGATAATGACAATAATACTCCAATGTCACCACAACAATCATCATCGCCACAACAAATGGACACCGACACGGTCGCCACGAAATTGGATGTCTTGGCAGGACATGTCCCCTTGGGTGTCGACGAGTGGTTGGTACCATTGGACAACAACAATCATCATCATTATCGTACCACTGTCACCTACCTTGCCTTTTTTCGACACGCCATCGACAAGTTTGTCTCTGGAATCATGTACCAAAAGAAGGATCAAAATTACTCCTACCCAGACATTCTAGAATTGATTAAAAAACGAGTCAAGGGAGAACTGCATCAAAACAAACACAGAGAAGGATACTCCGCTTACCTCTTGACACCCACACAAAAACAACACTTCTACACAAAGAAGAAGAGTACGGTAGAGGAACGCACACAACAAATCCTCCGTAATATACAAGAAGAACCCATCCTCGTGGGCATTGTAGAACGCATGCCCGAGAGCTTGCAGTTGTTGCAGTTTGTCATTGACAGTCGCCAAGAACAAACGCCCTTGTTTGAAAAGTTTGGAATGGTAACTCAAGAAGCTAAAGTACATATAGATGATAGTAACAACAACAATCCCAGCCAAAAAAAGAGGAACAATCCGTCCAAGTACTCCACCTCCAAAGTAGTTCAAGAGCTGAAGAAGGATGAGGAACTGTGGCCGTTGCTGCAAGAGTATGTCAAGTACGATACCCTAATCTATGAACGCGCTCTACAACTGCACAAACAACAATATGAAGCCATGATAGCACTACAGCAGCAACGAACAATACCCCAGATCGATGGATAGATAGATTTCCAAGGATGCCTCTCATCCTTTTGATATCTGACAAGGTCACCAGCTATTATAGACGGACCGTACAAACCAAAGTAGCATTCCTTCTCTTTTAAAGTAAATTTCTTACACTTCCACTCCCATGATTTTGGCCACTTGGGGCATATCCTTGTCACCACGTCCACTCATGTTAATCACAATATCCTTACCAGGGCCGAGCTTCTTGGCAAGTTGCACGGCATAGTAGATTGCATGACTCGTCTCCAAAGCAGGAATGATTCCTTCGAACTTGCACATCAACTTGAAACCTTCCAAGGCTTCTTCATCCGTGACTGCTCCATAGGTGGCACGGCCGCTGTCCTTCAAGTAGGCATGCTCTGGACCCACACCAGGATAATCCAAACCGGCCGAAACGGAATGTGTATTGAGTGTCTGTCCAGACTTTTTCTGAATCACGTAGGTCATTGCTCCCTGCAAAACTCCTGGAGTACCCTTGGTCAATGTCGCGCAGTGCTCTTCGTCCACTTCAATGCCCTTTCCAGCGGCTTCGGCTCCGTGAAGTTCTACAGTTTCGTCATCGTAAAAAGGAGCAAACGCACCAATGGCGTTGGATCCACCTCCGACGCAGGCAACGACGGCGTCGGGGAGCTTTCCAGCCTTGTCCAGCATTTGAGCTCGCATTTCACGGCCAATGACACTTTGGAATTCCTTCACAATGGCAGGGAACGGGTGGGGACCGACAGCGGATCCAATCAGGTAGTGAGTATCACGGACATTGGTGACCCAATCACGCATGGCCTCGTTAATGGCATCTTTCAAGGTGCGTTGTCCGTCCTGGACGGGCACGACCTTGGCGCCCAGAGTGTTCATACGGAACACGTTCAATTTCTGTCGTTCGCAATCGACGGCTCCCATGTAGACGGTGCAATCCAATCCAAGCATGGCACAGACAGTTGCAGTAGCCACTCCGTGTTGTCCGGCGCCGGTTTCGGCAATGATACGAGGCTTTCCGATGCGCTTGGCGAGCAGAGCTTGGCCAATGGCGTTGTTGATTTTGTGGGCACCCGTGTGTGCCAAATCCTCTCGCTTGAGCCAAATGTTGGCGCCTCCCGCAAATTCGGTCAGACGATTGGCCCTATGAAGAGGGGTGGGCCCCCCTACGAAATCTTTACGGTACGTATCGAGTTCCGCCAAGAAATCGGGATCATCCTTGATTTCGTCAAATGCCTGTTCAATTTCCTCAAAGGCCACCGACAAGGTTTCGGGGATGTACTGTCCTCCAAATTCTCCAAATCGGGTGTTCTTGTCGTCTCCAATCCATTCTGCCGGAATCTGACCGAGTTTTGTTGCTTGGTTTTTGGCATCGTCGGCTTGTGTGCAGCCAGACTTGAGGTGAGTAACAATATCGCGAATAGCATCGGCTCTCTGTTCCGTGGTGGCATCATCGCCGAGTTTATCCATTGCTTTCAAAATAGCACTACCGACCACAACACCATCGGCCATGTTGGCGACTCCATTCACCATGCCAGGGTTGGAAATTCCAAATCCCACCGCGATGGGCAAATCGGTCTTGGAACGGACGCGTGCAATAAATTCTTCCAAATCATCGGGGAGTGCGTCTCTGGCTCCAGTAACACCCGTGACAGACACACAGTAAAGGAAGGTAGACGCCATGTTGGTGAGTGCTTCTATACGCTTGTCACTGCTAGTGGGAGCGACCAAGGGAACATTGGAGAGTCCATTTTTGATGCAAGCCTTGTTCAATGCCTTGCCTTCTTCAGGAGGCAAATCTACCACAATGAATCCGTCAGCACCGGCAGCTTTGGAATCTTCGCACAGCTTTTCCACTCCATATTGATAGAAAGGGTTGTAGTATCCCATCAGGACAACAGGAACCGTCAAGCCCAATTCGCGAGCTTTTTTAACATGTTCCAAGCATTGAGGAATATCGGATGTTCCTCCCTTAATGGCTACTTGATTTGTGTGTTGAATGGTAGCGCCATCGGCCTGGGGGTCAGTGTAAGGGACACCCAATTCAATGACGGAAGCTCCACCTTCTTGCATGGCCATCAAAATGGCAGGAGTATCTGGGGTGTAGAAAAAGGGCAGTTTAGTGGGGATATGCCAATGAATAAAAGAATAATCGGCACAGAGGATTTGGCTTACCATCAGAAGTTGGATACCCAGCAGTGACAAAGGTAACAAAGGCAGCTTCCCCCTTTTCTTTGGCGGCCGCAAAGGCATCTTCAATTCGACCTCCTACTCCTCGCTCCATGTCAGCCACTGCAGGAATCTCGACGGATGCGACGTTGAGAGCACTGTTGCTAATGTGTTGCTTTGGGGCAAAGGGTGCCTTGGCAGAAAACGCAAAGGATGACTGGACAACTGAGGATGTAACCAAAACTGACCAGCCAACGACAAGTGAAAGTAGTTGCATTTTTGTTCAGCTTCTTTCTCCCTTCTTCTTTCACAAGATCTGGAATTGAATTGTGGCTCTTGACCTCGACGGTATCTTTTTCGAAGGGGTATCCTGCCGTAGCCGCACGTTTCGTAGGAATCTGTTTGTCTTAGCGAACTGCCTGTAATGTGGGGCCTTCGTCAGCGGTGAGGAAGTGGTTTCCTTGTGGTGGGTCTGTCTCGATGGCTTTTCTTCTTTGGTGGGGAAGGTGATGGCAACTTGAACTTTCGCAGTGTTTCCAGCCACAAAAAGGGGTTGGAAGTTTGGAAACAGCCGAAACATGCGTTCGCGGAAGATACGGTTACGTCAGATGCAGATCGACTCGACTCATTCGACTCAAATAATTTCCACGTTGTGAACCAAAAGCGTGGTGGGTTCCCAAGGAAGAACGCTTGGCTGGCTACGAGTAGTTGTTTTCAAGAGTGACAGTCTGGTCTATTGCAATGCTAATCACGGTGTTAGCAGGTCTACAAGCAAGATCCAAAAATGTTGCAGGTCCCTTTATAGAATCCAAAACTGGCATCGTTCATGATCAATTCCTTGCAAGTGTCCTCTTCGGGGCAAAAACTTGTGATTAAAGAAGACAGAATCAAGTTAGCACAATATCTTCCCATCAGCTATTAATATTTCATGCGAGTTTAGGAAAACTTACGAGATGTCCCCGACGTTGTTTGCAATGTCACTGGCAGAGTCGAGTCGCTTTCTTCAACTTTCGGTCGCCAGCATCAAAACCCCAAACACCACCGTAGAACCCATCTTTGTCAGAAATCTTGCGCTGATAATCATTGCACTTGCTTTTGGCCTTGCTACGGCGGTATTCATCCTTCTCGAGAGTAAAGCACTTGCCGTGGGTGTAGCATTTGCCAACCTTGTTCTCGTGGTGCTTCTCGGAAAGCAAGACCAGTGAATTGACCGTGGTTGCATGCTACTAAACCAATGCGTACCGGTAGTGGCTATAGTAGAATGTTGAATTATGAATGGTCAAGTAAGTAAGTTAGTTTGCTCTCTTTCTAGCTAGTACGACCGTAGTTAGTACCGGGGTAGTGTCGTTTTGTTTTCGTGTTGGTTCCGCCTTTTCGTCCTTCTCAGTTTCGATACCGTCGTAGTGTCTCTTGGGCCATGCCTTCATCGACTGTCTTTGTTAGGTGCAGTTAGTTGTCTTGTTCGGTTCAGTTGTTTGCACGGCAAACTCGTTCCATGCCAAGAGTCAAGTCGAGTCGAGCCGATTTGCCTCTTTTGTTTACATAAAAATAATGCACGTCCCATCATATCATTCAACGACGGTCTTACAATCCAAATGGATTATCACTACTATCATTTCCTCCTCGTCCACCACTTCGACTGGGTTTTTTGTTCATCATCAAGTCCCAAACATTTGGCATTTCGGATTGTTGTTGTTTGCTTTTTTTAATAGGCGTGGGATCCAATTCACCCTTGGCGACTCCCACGGCGACCCGGACTCCTAGTAAAAAGATGCCCATACCGGTGACACCAAAAAATCCACTCGCCAAAGAGACCAATCCCATGGCGACATTGCGAAAGACCGATGCCAATCTCTGTACAAAGTAGACATCGGTTTCGACTGGATGCAAGGCAAAGAAATTGCCCAACTCGTTGGTGGCGTACCACAATCCAGCTGCCACGGCAAAGGCAAAGAGTCCTCCTCCCAATGCCACGACGGGATTGACGCCATTGAGATTGCGTGCTTCGGCGAGTGCGGCTTCTTGTTCTTCGGGGGTTTTGCGAGGACGTGCCGGAAGATTCATTCGCTTGCCGCTCTTGCTGGTTCCAAACTTTTCCTTGTCGGCGGCTTGTTGGAGTTCGGCCATGAGACGTTCATTGATGGTACCCGTCGCGGCTTCTTCTTCTGATTCGGACGATTTGTTGTTGGCGTCGTCCTCTTGGATGCTGCCTTCTAGTTCGAGTGACTTTTCTTCCAGACTGGCCGCTTTGATGGTTTTTTGTTGTTCTTCCGAAAGAGCCTGCAATCGGGTTGCTGTTGGTCGTTTGCCAACAACTTGTGGTTGAGGAATTGAAAAGCAATTAACCGACGACAAGGACGATAGGGCCCAGACGAGGGCAACGCACTGACAAGGCTTTGGCATGGCTATACTAGCTAGTGTAGTACGGTAGACAAGTCGTTTTGGTTTGGTTCAACAGGAAAACACAGAAGTAGAAGAATGAGGACAATTTGGTGGAGGGAGATGAGGTCGAAACGGAGCACGTCATCGATGTCAAGAGCTGATGGTATTCGAATCGACTTATTCCAATCGAACCTTCAATCGAATCATCAATTCGAATTCAATCGAAAGATCTACCTGTCCTCGCAAAAGATGTCAAAGAGACGACCACAACACCACTATCTCATCCCTGTGTTCCGAAGTCGAGGAGAAGGGCTCTACAAATAGCTACCTTGTTACATGAATAGATTGAGATAATAATATGAAGTCTGCTACCTTTCTGGTTGGCGCCTTTGTAATGGGCGGAAGTCAATGGCCCCCTCTTGCCTCCCGCAAGATAATATCTCAAGGTCTCCCACGGAATGGAATGAAAAGTGATGAGCGAGATCCTGCAGGGGTGGAATCTGTCTTTTATCAAGCCAAGAAGATTCGAAAGACACAGTTGGCGCGACTTGCCCGAAAAACCAAACCAGGGAGCAAGAATCCAGGAGGCAAGCGTCGACAAAGACGTCAACGTGGATTTCTGGGAGGAGAGCAGGACCCCATTCCTGTCGGTCAAAGGGCAGTCGAACGAATGAAGCAACAAATCTCATTGCCATTAGAGCTAGAAAATGACGACAAGGAACTGGAGGCACTGGCAACCATGCGTGTTCTTCTCGAGAAAGACTTTCAACATTTGAAAGACAAAACGGTGGTCCTTCCAGATGGACAAGAGTGCCATGTGCTGACCCAATTCCCGGATGTCTACGGTGACATTCGAATGCTGCGGTTCCTGCGGAAAGATCGAGCCAAAAATCCAGTCTCCGCTTCCATTTCCTACCGAAAATTTCTCCGTTGGAGACGCGACAATGATGTGGACCTAGTCAGGGCTCAAGTAGAAGTCTATCCCTACAAGGTACCTTCCAAGCTACAAGTCATCTCCAACTTGCTACCTTGTGACTTTGATGGCCACTCCTTTGAGGATTCTGTTTTAATATCCCTCTATGTGGGACAGTGGCAAACTTCTGACCTGGCACGCCTCATTATTCAAGATGACAATGAGCTCTCTCTGCAAGATTTCCTCTTGTATTGGACCTACAATTTTGAACCGCTCCACAAACAGCTGCATGCCAAGAGCGCGGCACAAAAAACAATGGTCTTTGTCAATGCCAACAGCGATCTCGACGGCTTTCGAATCCAACAGCTATCACCGTCCTTCATTTCCATAGTTCTCAAGCCTTGGGTCCAGCAGCTGCAGGCCAATTACCCAGAGACGGCCAAACGGATCGATGTGATCCATCCACCGCGAGTCGTTGCTCTGCTTTGGAAACTCATCACACCATTGTTGAGTCCAGGCACTGTGGCCAAGATACGCATCCGCTAGCTAGCAAAAGCACAACGACAATTCACGTTGGTAGCGTAGCTGTCAGCCATAAGGGTACTCGTGGAACCCCTGCACCGTACCGTATTATGTGGGGTTGTGACTCGAATCCTCGATGGAATAAGGTCACTCAAAAATTGCTATTCAAGTCATTGTTGCCTGTATGTTGCTTCAGCGCCTTTTGCAACCTGGGAACCCAAAATTCTTCTGTCTTCCTGTTCACATAGCTGTTGAATGAATGAAAGTATTGCAACAAGGACTGTGTAAGAAAAGGACGACCTCACCAAGGAAGGAAGCACCAACTATTGACCTACCAGTTGTAGGCCCAATCTTTGTCATCGCCGACTCCATGCTTTGCCTCGTCGTAGTCAAACGGAAAGGGCACCCCAATCCGGCACCTGGCCCGTGGGTCGCTGTAGCCTACTTTGCAAGCCTTATTCCATCCAGCAGTATCCTGACGTGCCACAGCTTTGGTATGCAGCATTGTTGCTTCATTGATTTCGTCGGAATATCGTCCGAGTAGACCCGCAATTCGGGTCTTGAGCCAGGGAAACCCAGCGGCCTCGAACTCGGTTTTATTCATCTCGGACAGGACGGTGACTGTGGAATAGTGAATAAAGTGCTGCAATACAAAGTCTGGGAGGTGCAGAAAGGCGACAGTTGAGCTGCCACCATGACGCTGTTGTGCTGAACGTGACACGCAAGATGTTAGCTTAGCTTACCTGGCCGATACAATTGCTTCTCTGCTGGCATGACATCCTTCTTGGGGCCAGACTGGCGGTCACAATTGTAAGTCTGCAATACCGTGGTATCCTCAGGAATAGTCAACTCAAAACAGAGGAAGCTGTTGCTACACTGCTCCGTATCATGAATAGGTACGGGTTCCCTGGCAAACAGCAGTGAATCAGTTAAACGCCGCGGGAAACCTTCGCGAGACAAGGAACCGACCGAACTTACTTTATTAAATCTCTTCGAGGCCATGCTCGCCAACTACCAAAGGAAAGGATTTTCAATCCGGTTCGATCAAGGTCGTCCAGAATAGGAATGATGCTTGTGTACTTGCCCATTGGAATCAAGTATTCATCAATGTCAAACTGGCCTGAAATCGTAGAGGATGCAAGTGGACATGAGAGAGTTCGTTTCTGTCGTGCTGCTGATCTACCATGCTATACAATGTCATGTACTCACCAATCCATTCCACGTGGGGGCCGAATCTCAGCCTGCAAGAGGATTCTGCCGCGTATTGTGAAGAACGTTCGCCAGGACTGTCGACGTTGTTTGGATTGTTGTTGCATACATGAAAAGGCCACTTGATGTATGTAATTTCATTTGGAAACATATCTGCAATGGGTTTCAAAGTGATTTCACTGGAAAAGGCATAGCTGTTGTCGTATAGATAAAAGTGCTCAAACCCAAGCATCTTGTTGAATGTAATCCACTCCAACATGCGTCTCTGTCCATCATTTACTGCAAATCGATTGCCACGAGTTGTGTAGCCTGCACTAGCCCACATACATGCCACCAAGCGATGCTTCTTGGGTGCCGTCAGGTGGTCTTTGAGGGCAATTTCACGATTGCCCTTTTCGATCTTTTGGAGTTTCAAAGTAGTAGTCTCATCATCACTTGGTTGTTGTTCTTGAGGGTAATATTCCTCCAGAGTTGTTTTGCAGATTGGAAAGTTTTCCCATCGACCGGAATCTTCAATCCGAGGAATGACATGGTCGTCCCCCCATTCCGCCGTTGGATCAAATCGGTCTTCCATCTTTTGGGGTAATCGATCCGCGTATTTGGGTTGCAGGAATTCGCTCGACAGCCCGTATCGTGGCGGCGTTCGAATGGGAATCACGTCGACAAACAAGGATGCCGTATCATCATCTTGGACGGATTCTCCGGATTTGATACTGTCCACCAGATCGTCTGGCACGGGACATTTAAAGATCAATTGGGACGTGTGAATGGATAAGATTCCTCCATCCTTGTACTGAAAAGTGTATTTGGTCCTCTTGCGATGTGCGGCATAATCATAGTCAAAGTTGAAGACGGACAATGTCTCTACCATGCTGGGTTTGAATCGGCAAATGAATCGAGTGGCCACTCCATCGGGATCGGCTTGATCATGGGATGTGAGTTTATATCGTGTTTCGCCGTCTTGGTTGATTCTCTTGACCGGAACATGTTGAAAGAGTGCAATATTGGGTTGTGTCAAGTGCAGAATTTCCTTTTCCTCGGGTGTTGTGCCTGTATGACACCGTCTCCTGTTTTGTGCCACAAACTGAATGTACTTGCCATCATGGGTAGGAAATACATCATGTATCCAAGGGAGGAAGGGATCATAATCCGGATACTCGTTGACTGGGATCATTTGCGGCACTTTTTTGCAGGAATTGAGTTTTGGATAGGTATTCATTTCTAGTTGGTCCGCTGTGGCCGTGCTGCGCTTGGGAAGTGGTTTGGTTTCCCATTCTTTGAAATCAATGGGTTCCACAAATGCTTTGAGTACGTGTTCTGGATCGGGAGGAGTCTCATCATCATCGTCTTCCTCTTCTTCCTCCTCTTCCATGGCATTCAACACATTTTCATTTGGGATAATGATTTGTGGTTGGACTCCTTCCCCATGTGGCTTGGCCATCCACCCATTCCTTTTGGTTGTTTGCATGGATGCTCCCGGTAAAACGACGTTTCGAAAGTTGCGTTTCCCTCTGGGTCCCTTAGCTTGGTTGTTTTGAATTATTGGCTTATTATTGTTACCATCATTGTGGTCATCCCCTGCCTCGTTGGAGGCTTCTTTGGATTCCTCCGGCGAAGGGTTTTGTTCCTGTCTCTCACTTGTTTCTATTTTGTTGGTATTTTGGTCGTTTCCTGCCTGCAGTACTGTTGTTGAAGCTTGGTGTTGCTGTATGTTCTTGTCAGCAGTAGTAACCGGTGCAGCTTTTTTTTCTTCCAGCAGTTTGTGTTGTTGTTGTTGTTGCTGTTGTATCCGACTTTTTGCTTGATCCCCTGAGATTTCTTCCTTCCTGCTAGTTGTAGTGGAAATTTGTGGTTCTGTTTCTACAGGGTTGCCAGTGGCAAATGACAGGATCAGCAAGGCATATCCGACGGATATTGCCACCACAAAGAGCAATACCGTTGCCAGGGATACCCTCACTCGATTGGCATTTCGATTGTTGGAGTGGACGGACACCATATGTACTTTCTCTTTTTTAAAGATATCTCTTGCTTGTAGACGACCGTAGATTATCTCACACTCCTCATGCAATGTGGATTAGCTTTGGAGACCTCAAGCACTGGTCTTGTCTGGATAATAGAGACATCGAGAGGAACAAAAGTCGAGAGGAAGGAATGACCATGAGCCTGAAAGCCCGAATGAGAAAAATGAGATGACGTCAATTCCGTCTGGCCTGTCCTCCTGACCGTTTCATATCTTTCGGAAGTGTTCTTTGGTTTTCGCCGTTTCATTTCCAATCCACAAACAATCTTGTCATTGTTTTACCCTCCTGCTATTTCTTGTAGCACGTATCTACCGGTACCTATCTATCTTCCTACCGTATTATTCACTACTCCATGTCCTCTTCAAAATTTGTAGATGACGATCGCTTCGACGGTCTCTACTTGAATGTGGCGTCAGCTGCCCATGGGATTGAACCGTTGTTGGATACCGTCTTTTCCTTTTTGCGTCGCAAGACAGACTTTTTTGCCGGTCCACCGGGAGCCACCGATGGCACGCAAGTCGCCATTCAAAAGGTCAATCAAGTACTCCAGAAACATGCTGCTTTGTACGAAAAGGAACACGCCAAAAAGAAACCTCCTCCTCCTCAAAAGAAGGCCAAAAAGGAAGAAGTCATTGAAATGGGAGCCGATGGGGGATTTGACGTGACAGCCGCAGCCGCAGCCACGACAACCAAAAAAGAGAAGACTCCACCAGCTGCTACTCCAAAAGTAGAGGAGAAAAAGAAAAAGGTAGAAGAAACTCCAGCCGACAAACCAAAAAGTGACACAGAGGTTACCCCCACCACCAAAGACGATAAGGATAACAGCGAGGAACCCGACAACGATGGGAAGGTAATTCCCTCCAAGGGCAATGGTGGCACTGTGGATGGAAAATATGTCTGGACGCAAATTCTAGCCGAATTATCCGTCACGGTACCACTGCCCGACAATACGCGAGGACGAGATTTGAATGTCACCATTTCCCGAAAACACCTCAAAGTGGGACTTCGAAATGCCCTTAAAAACGACAATGGAGGCACAGCTACCAAATGGCTCGTCGACGACGACTTGATCAAACCCATTGTCACGGACGACAGCTTTTGGACGGTCGAAGATGGTAATCGACTCGTCTTGAATTTGCAAAAGACAAATGCCATGGAATGGTGGGATGCCGTTTGTGTCAACGACACGCCCAAAATCAATGTCCAAAAGATTCAACCGGAAAATTCACAACTCGGTGATCTCGATGGGGAAACCCGCAAAACCGTAGAGAAAATGATGTTTGATCAGAGACAAAAGGCAGCTGGATTGCCCACCAGTGAGGAACAGCAAAAATTCGACATGATTGAGAAATTCAAAAAGCAACATCCCGAACTCGATTTCTCGCAAGCCAAAATTAGTTAGTGACGCAACAAAAGAAAAAGTGGGAAACCTACTGCAGCAACTAATTTTACATGGAGAACCATGGATGGATGGAAATCAGGATAAGCAAATTCACTTTTTCAAACTGCTACCTGACCAATTATTTCAACTATATATTACAGTAGAGTAGTTATTGGGAGGATTGATCCGGTTTCAGTAGAGGAAACGCAATGACATCGCGAATCGAAGGAGCATTGGTCAAGAGCATCACGAGACGATCAATCCCAATGCCGAGACCACCCGTCGGAGGCATGCCCTGTTCCAGTGCCTGCAAAAAGTCTTCGTCCACATCGCATGCCTCTTCGTCGCCCGCGGCTTTCTTGGCAGCTTGAGCTTCGAAACGGACACGTTGGTCCACGGGATCGGTCAATTCACTAAAGGAATTGGCATGTTCCCGACCCACGGCAAACAACTCGAACCGTTCGACGAGACCCGGCTTGCTGCGATGCGGTTTGGCCAAGGGACTCACTTCGACGGGGTAATCAATCACAAACGTAGGTTGAATCAGCTTGGGTTCGCAGAGTTCTTCAAAACAGGTATTCAAAACCTCCCCGACCGAGTTCAAGCGCTCCAAGCCAGGGACTTTGGCATTGGCGGCCGCTTCCTTGGCTTTTGCGAGTGATTCTGGATCCTCCGGGTCCAATGCGGCAAAGTCAAAATCCGGAATCTCCTCCTTGACGATATCGTGCATCGTCACGCGACGCCAGGGACGTTCAAAACTGATAGTGTCTTCTCCATACGGAACCGTCAATCCTCCGCAGACTTCCTCGGCAATGGCTAGTAGAAAGGATGATGATGAGACAAGGCAAGATTGATATTTGCAGGCAAAAGAAAAAGTCAGGACAGAAGCACGCACACTATAAGATACGGCTCTTTCAACCATTCTTACAGCAAACCAAATGCTCCGTCAACTCCATCATATCATCGTAGTCCGCATATGCCTGATACAGTTCCACCGAAGTGAACTCTGGATTGTGTCGTGTGGATATTCCTTCATTGCGAAAGATCCGTCCCACTTCGTAGACCCGATCAAATCCTCCCACAATGAGACGTTTGAGATGCAATTCGGTGGCAATGCGAAGTGTCAACTCCATGTCCATGGAATTGTGGTAGGTTTCGAATGGTTTGGCTTCGGCCCCTCCCGATTGGCTGTGTAAGACGGGTGTTTCAATTTCCAAAAAGCCCATTTCATCCAAGACGCGACGTAGTTTGGACGTGATCATGGCACGCTTTCGAAAAGTGTCCCGGACGTTGGTATTGACAATCATATCCAAGTGACGCGATCGATATCTTTTTGACACATCCGTGAGGCCGTGGAACTTATCTGGCAATGGCAGTGCTGCCTTGGTTAGCATTTTCCATTCATTGGCATAGACAGTCAATTCTCCCTTGTCGGTTCGACGAATTGTACCCTGGACACCAATGATATCACCTCCATCCGTCCAATCTTTGAGTTGCTTTACAAAACAAACCAATCATTCATCAGTCAATAATCAATTGCCAGCCATCTAGGCAGCAGTTCCAAAGATCCACCCACCAAAAACGTACCTTGAATGTTTCTCCCAACCGCTTTTTGTCAAATTGAAGTTGAATGGTTCCCGTTTCATCTTGCAACGTGAAAAAGGCCAATTTTCCAAAGACTCGACGGGTCATGATGCGACCGGCTACGGCCACAGTGGCACTTTCGTCTTCTTCGCCTCCTTCCAATTTGCCTTCATAGAGTTGTGCTAGTTGCGCGGCCGTGTGCGTGGGTTGATAGGTGTATTCGTAGGGTTCCACTCCCGCTTCGCGCATGGCTTCTACTTTTTGCAAACGCGTGTAGCGAAGTTCCTTTTCCGACATTTCCTCGATTGGCTTTTTGGCCGCTGCCTTGGCAACGGGACTCTTTTTCTGTTTTTCTGGTGCCTTTTTCTTGGGTTTTTCTGGTGGCTTTTGGTCGGCTGGTAGCTGTGCCTTTAATGCCAAGAGTTCCTCGACATGAGGCTGCAAGTCTGCTTTTTCAATGCCGCCTTCTTTGAGTTTGCGAATTTCTTCCCCCTTGGCTTTGATTTTTTGTTCTAACTCGACCAAAGGGTCTGGTAATTGTGCCTTGAGGGCTAGTAGTTCTTCAATGTGTGGAGCCAATGCTTGTTTCTCAACACCATCTGCTTTGAGTTGTCGAATTTCGTCTCCCTTGATTTTGATTTTCTCTTCCAGGTCATCTGGAGTGGTTGTGGAAAAAAGGCGAAAGCTCCTCTTTGGACATGATGTAGATTGCTGAAATGGACGGGGAATTCTTGCAGCCAGTGTCGACGCTGCTGCTCTTCTTCCCTGAGGAACCAGGAAACCCTTGACTGCAGAGACCCACATTATGATCGCCACCAAGGTCCACCGGCTACCCAAAGGTGCATTCAATATCGGATGTCTCATCGATATGAATATAATAATATGTGTAAAGTTCTTTACAATGGATCGTTTCGTTCGAAGATCTTGTGGTGGCTTAGCCTGATACACAAGCTGACGGAACTTGATCTGCTGGGGCAAGGGGAAAAATGCAAGCCAACAGAGATCCCTCTTTCTTTGCCTCAATTGTGCTAGCTAGCTACTAGACTCTAGCTCTAGCTAGTAGGCAAGATAATGCATTCCTTTGATGGATATGGGTAGCACAGAACAAACACAAAACAAGTTCGTTGGGTTGATGGCTTTCCAAATGGATTTGCGTCAGTGGTTCTGAGCCGGGAGTTTCTACATTCGTGACGGGACTCAAATCAGCGCTGACGTATGCGTCTTGACTTGACTTGGCATCAACAAAAAAATGGACCGTCAACTTGAAGGCTGTCATCTCCTTCCTCGTGGAAGTCCATCAGCTGTGTCTCGGATCTGTTGCTGTCAAGGATCCTTCAACGACATGGTAGATCTGATAGACAACGCGAGATCGATACCTGGAAGCTAATAAAACTTAGTAGCCGCCAAAACCAACTACGACAACCATGAAACTCTCGAATATTCTGACTTGTGGAGCCGTGCTGTTGAGCACGGCAACTGCCTTTACTGTCGTTCCACAAACCACACAATCCTTGACGCGGCAATACATGTTTGGTGGAGGCGGTGCCGGTGCTGTCACGGAAGATGATCCCGAAGCCCAAAAGAAAATGGAAGAAGCCGCGGCTGCCATGGGCATGTCCGCTCAAGAATACCAACTCGGTATCAAGGCTCGCATGAAGTTGAACGAAGATCTTGCTGCCATGAGAATCGCACAAGGCGACCCAGATACCATTGAGGTCGTACGAGATGGAAACAACCCACCTCAATTCCTAGAAATCAACATTACCGAAAAGGGAAAGGCATTAGGACAAGACGCCGTTTCATCGGAAATCGTCGCGGCTCTTAAAAAGGGAGCCGAGGGCGCACGAGCAGGACGAGCAGAAGCCCAAAAAACTATGATGCAATTCATCGGGGATGAAATGAAGAACATTGGAGGATAAGAAAGTAGCGCTGGAGTCAAGTCGAGTCGAGTCAAATAGTCAGATTAGCTTCTGAGACCTTGGTTGTATGACGCTCGACATGAATTAATTCTAGCTATCGGTGGCACAGGCCTGCTTCCTGGAGTTAAGATATAGACAAAACCTGATGAAATGCACCATGTCTATCTTGAAGCATGCCATACCTACCTTCTTTGGTCCTATAAACACCACTCCTCCTCATGTGTCACTTTTGCGCGTCACTATTCACTCTACAATTGCGAATGGCAATGAACCCTACGGATCCGGAGCACGAAACAACTCCAATGCCCTACCGTAGCTAGCTAGCTAGAGCTGTACAATGATACACTGCCAAGCTACCAGTTTCCCTCTTCCAAGCATAGACAGTTGGCCTCTTGCAAGTTCACTACATGTAGCTAGACCAAGCCAATCCTGCCTAGCTCCTCAGTACCCTTTTTGCCTGTCAAAACTTTCTAAAGAGCCAACCAAACAGCAACCCCAACACCTCCAGCACAGCACGGAAGAAGCACATGATTCACCAGCTAGCTGCCTCTTTGCCATAAAATACATTGGCTATCATACTATGTTTACTGACTAGCTTTGTGCGTATATTGTGTGTAAGTTTACTGGAAGAGGTATGCAACGACGATGTAACCGAGAATCATGAGATAGAATCCCATATTGGAGCTCTTGTTTGGCTGTCCATTGATTTGTTGGACTGCCTGTGCTACATTGGTGTTGGATGATCGCAGACGATCTTGCAATTCCTTGAGCTTGCCAGTGGGGGTGGCCCTTGGAATGGCACCACCACCAGCTGCAGCCACATCTCCTGTGGCTGCAGCTCGTCCACCACCTCCCCAACCATGGGCTTGAACGGTTTGCACCCCAATTTGAATATCACGAAGAACTAGGAGCATGTCTTTGTTTTGCTCCTGCAATGCCACCAAAAGCTGCCGCGTTTGGGCATCCAGATCCACATAGAGATAGGCACCCAATGATCGACACCCATTCATAAAGGCAGGAAATAGATTGTGTAGTAACCAGACCACTTCATGTTCGGTGAGTGCTGGGAATAACCAAGTAGGGATTGGATTGGTGGAAGATGTCATCATGGTGACTTCAACAACCAACATGACAACCATTCCAGTAAAACACCAATTTCGAGCTTCACCACTTCGCTTTCCCAGTGTCAACATGAAAACCATCATACCCCAGGAAATGTAGAAAATGGCCAATTCAAGAAGGAATTGGGTTTCATCATAGCGTTTGTTGGCCTTGATTCCCTCTTTTCCAAATTTGTTGTATACTTCACGAAATTCCATATCCATGAGGGCATCATAGGCCTGCTTGACAGCATCAAACTTATCAGTGGCATCCGGGCTGGGATTCTTGTCCGGGTGGAGTTGAAGACTAAGGCGTTTGTAGGCCCTTTTTATTTCCAGAGGATTGGATTCTCGTGTCACACCCAACAGGTTGTAATAGTTGGGTCCTTTTTGTTGCATTTCTAGACCTGAACAATATCAACATGATATCAAAACAGAAGGTGGAACAAGCAAAATCCCAGTTGAGAATTCACGACAACAATATTGGCACCATGCAGCCAACATCACCGATTCGATTCAACCAAAGTGTCCAATGGACTTGAATCTTCCACTTACCTGTCTTGATTGCTGCAATAGCTGCCAGAAAGGCAATGGCATACATAATGCTCTTCTTGCGTTCAAATCGTCCTGGCCTCAGAATCCATGCTGTACAGGGATGGACAATAAACACATAAAAGAAAAATCCTGACAAGCCAGACAGCTCGTCACCACTGCTTTCTCCTTCACTCATTGTTTCTTCTGTTTCACTTCTTGTGGATTGGAAACTATTGGTACAGCTGTTGTTGCTAACCTTTAATTGCAGCAGTCAAGATGATGAAGAATGTACGGTAATGGTTGATGAGCGAGGTTTTAGATGAGGAGTGGTGTTGTCGAAGCGTCGAAGCGTCAAGGTGGAGTGGTACCGGTACTAGCTAGCTACCGGTAGTACCGGTAAGTGATGAGCTGGAACTTGGGGTTGGCTGCGTAGGGTTAGGGGAGCGTGTCAAGTCGAGGGACGAGCCCTCAATCTGGGGGACTCTTCGCAGCTCTACTGTTTTGAAACAACTAGCCAGCCAAGAGCAAACGTCCCACAAGCTCCTGCGCCCCTTTGCCTTCGTTCTTGTCAAATTAAGAGCCTTCTAGGTCGTCTCCATGCATAATGGCCACAAGGAGATGGTCTAATACTACGGATTTGATTCGAGAATTGTATACATGTATATTGCTCTTCTACGTTTAAAATGGCAGCCAGCTTGGTCGCTGCCTCGGGGTCAGCTCGCAGGCTTGCCTCCGCCTCGAACATTCCAGACAATCCCATCTTGTATACATTGCTCTTCTACCTTTAAAATGGCAGCCAGCTTGGTGGCTGCCTCGGGGTCGGCTCGCAGGCTCGCCTCC